AGCTCGCCTCACATCGGTCAGTCCATTCGAACTTCACAGACTTCCTCGTCAGCTGGAAAATAGGGAGGGCAATCTTGGAGAAGCCCTCGATAAACCTGCGATAGTAACCAGCTAAACTGAGAAAACTGCGAACCTCGGACGGACTCCTCGGTGTCGACCAGTTCTGAACGGCTGATACCTTAGAAGGATCCACCTCGATGTCTGCCTGAGTAATCACATGACCCAGAAAGGATACTCGCTGAAGCCAGAACTCGCATTTGGAGAATTTGGCGTACAAGTTCTCTCGTCTGAGGGTTTCGAGAACCACCCTCAGATGCTCCTCGTGCTCCTTCTGGCTCTTCGAGTAGATAAGAATATCGTCAATAAAGACAATAACAAACTGATCGAGGTAGGGATGAAAGATACGGTTCATGAGGTCCATAAAGACTGCTGGCGCATTGCTGAGACCGAAAGGCATGACAACAAACTCGTAATGGCTGTAACGAGTCCTGAAAGCGGTCTTAGCGATGTCTGACTCCTTAATCTTCAGCTGGTGGTAGCCTGATCGTAAATCAATCTTCGAGAATACACAGGCTCCCCTCAACTGATCAAATAAGTCGTCGATCCTGGGAAGCGGGTACTTATTCTTGATCGTCAACCGGTTAAGATCCCGGTAGTCGATACACATACGCATGGGTCCGTCCTTCTTCTTAACAAAGAGAACGGGTGCTCCCCACGGTGACACGCTCGGTCGGATGAAACCGAGTCGTAACAGCTCCTGAATCTGAGTCTTAAGCTCCTGCAATTCTTTAGGCGCCATGCGATATGGGGCTTTGGATACTGGACCGGCCCCTGGGATAGGATCAAAAGAAAACTCCACCTGACGGTTGGGCGGTCCTCCTAGAAGTTCGTCTGGGAACACGTCCACAAACTCGCGAACGATTGGAACATCATGAGGTGTCCGCGCTTTCTGAGAATCCTCAACAAGGCTTACCAGATAACCCTGGCAGTTGCCTCGTCGCAATAGCTTAGTGGCTTTCGCCATCGAAATAACATGAGGCAGTGAACGATTCCTGGAGCCGAAGAAAGTAATCGACTCGTCTCCCGGGAGATAGAGAGTGATCTCCCGGTCATGACACCTGATGTCTGCATGATAAAAGGATAGCCAATCCATCCCGAGAATAAGATCGAAGTCTCTCATCTCGAGAACAAACGCGTCGGCAGTCAATACTCGGCCACCAATGGAAAGGCTAAGATCCGAGGCTTTAGCTGAGGTCACTATCTTTCGTCCCGAGGTTAGACTCACCTCGAGAGGATCGACAGTGGTAATGGCGTGAACTTCGATGGTGTCGAGACATCGTCGTGAAATGAAAGTATGTGTCGCTCCAGTATCGAATAAAGCGAACACAGGAATATCATTGAGAACAACCATCCCTGACATAGTACCTGGCTGCTGTGCTGCCTCGGCCTGATCGACCGCGTAAAACCTGGCTTGCTGCCTGCCCCTCTGC